GAAAAGACACTCATGCTGGGAAAGGTGGAAGGGAGCAGGAAACGAGGAAGGCCAAATGTGAGATAGACTGACTTGATGAAGGAAACCACAGGCTTGAATTTGCAAGACCTGAGCAGGGCTGTTGAGGACAGGGCCATTTGGAGATCCATCCTTCATAGAGTCACCGTATGTTGGTGGCAACTTGGTTCTTATAAAAGCAGCAGAAATTTTGGTAGAACGAATACTAAAGAATCAGCAAATCGACTTTGCAAGGCTTTGTTGATGAACATTTAGAGGTGGTTTTCAACCTCGAGGTTAGGGGATCGCCTCGCCCTGCCTGACGTTACTGCTAGCTCCTCGTAGAGGAAACATTGTTGGAGCAATAAACATATTTGTTTTTTACTTGCTATCTTTCAGCTCTCGTTACTCTCTGCCCACGCCTCACTTTGACACGTCTGTCTCAATTTTTAAAAACCCGCTTCCGACCTGCCACAAACCACAGGGTGACAGAAAGCTCTTGCTTCCTTCCATTGACACTCAGCCTCCACATTTCCCCCCCATGTTGGTTGAGGGGAAACCACAATGGCAGCAACGGCTGTGACGTTGCGTGGGAAGATCAGACGGGGGTGGGTGGGCTGAGGGGAAGGAAAGCGAGCAAGATCAGGGCATGCTGCTGATGGTTCAGACAAGGAGAGCAGGTGTCAGGAAGGAAATGCTCATCCAGTTTGCAGACGACACGAAATTGGGTGGCTTAGCCGAAGCAAAATTCAAAATTATCTAGATAGGCTTGAGCGCTGGGCTGAAAACAACAGGATGAAATTCAACAGGGATAAGTGCAAAGGACCACATCTAGGAAAAAATAAATAAACCAACGGCACAGTTACAGGATGGGAGAGAGACCTGGCTCAGCAATACTACAAGTGAGAAGGACCTTGGAATCATCACAAATCACAAGCGGAATACAAGCCAACCGTGTGATGAGGCGGCAAAAAAGGCAAACGCTATTTTAGGCTGCATTAACAGAAGAAGAAGCCAGTTCTGGACATCCCACTTCAAGAAGGATGCCAACAAATTGGAGCAACTTCAGAGAAAGGCAACAAGGATGATCAGGGGGCTGGAAACTGAGCCCTAGGAGGAAGGACTGAAAGAACTGGGCAGGTTTAGCCTTGAGAGACGACAACTAGGGGAGAGACAATAAATAGTGCTTTCCAAATACTGTACTTGAAAGGCTGTCAGAAGAGGCTGGGCTAAACCTATGGAGTACAGAAACAACACACCTTGACAAATGAACAGCACACCTTGACAAACACACCAGGGCAAGACCATCTCCCAGTCACTGAATTGATTGATTTTGAAGCAAAGTAGGATCAAAAAATAATCAAGTAAGACAGGACTGCTTGGATACAGGACAAATGTTCTGGGACTATGGAGAAATTCAATCCATGCAGCCCTTACATGCAATTTATGTCTCAGCACATGTATAAACAACGATCTAGCAAACACTATTTAAATTGCCTGCCTCTAGTCAGAAATTTTCTAATCATCATAACATCTCATTTGTTTTTAATTTTGTTTTAATTCAAGTCAGAGCTAACTTATAGTGACCATGATGGAGCTTTCAACGCAAGTGAGATATGTAAGGAATCGTTTTACCCGTTCCATTCCCCCAGTGAATTTCCATGGCTGAGCAGGGATTCGAACTCAGGCCTCCTGAATCCGAGATCTGTTGCTCTCTCCACTACACCACTCCAGCAATCCCTATATTTCTTGTTGTTGTTGTTTAGTCGTTTAGTCGTGTCCGACTCTTCGTGACCCCATGGACCAGAGCACGCCAGGCCCTCCTGTCTTCCACTGCCTCCTCCGGAGTTGTGTCAAATTCATGTTGGTTGCTTCGCAGACACTGTCCAGCCATCTCCTCCTCTGTCGTCCCCTTCTCTCCTCTTGCCGTCACACTTTCCTAACATCGAGGTCTTTTCCAAGGAGTCTTCTCTTCTCGCTCTCTCCACTACACCACTCCAGGAATCCCTATATTTCATATGCATCCGTAATTTTGGATGCGACTTGTCTTTTCAACATTTGGGGGCCGCATGCTATCCCTCCCACTACTAAAAACATCACATATGGGCAGGCTTATGACAGAGGGACGGGAGGTGCTTTACAAAATCAAAATGAATGGGCTTGACTTTTGGAGAAGACGGAAGGCAACCTCCCCATTCACCAAGAGTGAAAATTATCTTGCTTGGCCATTCCAAAAAAGACCAAGTTCTCTATTTAATGGTTTGATTGCTTAAATTAAATTTCCCTGGTTTTTTTTTTTAAATCAGAGCTGGGTCCCCATATTAAAAATATCTTGAATAAATAAAGAAGAAAACACACGCGTGTGACAGCCATCAAAGACACTCAAAAGCCTGCATGTTGGAGGTGTTCCTAGATTTAGAACTGAGAAGAGGAAATTTTTTAAAAAAAGGGTGGGGGGAGCAAGGGGAAATATTTTTCAACTTTGAAGAATAATACATTGATTTCTGTGCGAATTTTTGTGCAGCAAAATTCCTTCTTTGTGAGCGCTCAAACTGAAATAAATCTGTCTACCTTTAAAGTGCCATGATATTTTGCCTTTTCCTTACCACCACCACCCCCCTTTGAATTTTGCCAAGCATGTTGAGAAATAGCTATTTCTTTGGAAACTACAGTCCGGAAGGCGTTTCATTTCCCTTTGCCAATTCTGACATCTAGCGGACGAGTCAAGCGATGAGAAACTCAACTGGAGGTTAGAGAAATTCAACCCTGATCATTGGAGGTCTTATGTAAGGCACTGACATGACACTGAAACATAAACGCAGGCCGTTGCATACGTTCAGCGAGCCCTGGATAGCTGTCTCATCATCACCCTTTAGGAAAGGAGGATTGTTGAATGAGTTTGCTTGTGCACCACTGACTGCAGCGACAGGAGGGGAATCTAAATCCTTGCCGGTTTTGTGAGCAAAACATCAAATAATAAACAAGGACACTTCCTCGGATGCTGCTGTTTGTGGTAAGAGAGGAGACCATTCTGCCTGTGTAACCCCAAAATCTGACCGCCTCCCCGTATTCCCTTTTAGTATCTCATGACGGCTTGCAGGACACGTACCACATCTAGTTCCCCACTGTGCTGGAATGGCTAAGAGACCATTCTGCCTGTGTAACCCCCAAATCTGACCGCCTCCCTGTATTCCCTCATTTAGTATCTCGTGACGGCTTGCAGGACACGTACCGCATCTAGTTCCCCACTGTGCTGGAATGGCTTTGAGTGTGATCAACGCCACCTCATTACAGCAGTTTCATATTATCTGGACATCGATGGCCACCATCTTATGGAATTTTGGCACATGTCGTTCGGTGGAAGTCTAGAACGGCAACAATCTTGAGCACTTACTCCATGAACTGCAGAAATCTGGGAACCTCGCCAAACAACAAACCCCATGCTTCTACAGAATGGAGCCATTAGCAAGCTAAGCGGCATCAGCTTGCAACAACTGTGTAACACAGGCTACAGATGGGCCCTTCACGTTTAACCTGATCAAAACCACTAAAACTGGGCTCATGTTTGGTGGTCTTTTGATTCCCGGAAAGCAAGCCACTAAAACACAAATGGTTGATAACAAAACAGGTATCCTACAAGTTTCATACTCCTGTTTCCTGCTTGTGGAACTTATTTCACCTTGTAGATATCAAATTGCTTGATAAAATATGGGAATGGTAAACTGCTTCTGAGGACCAAATGCCTAGAAAACCCTGGATATTCTAAATCAGAACTGACTTCACCGCATGGAATTATTTTTATGCCAAAACCTTTCTTTCACCCTTTGTATATCAAACAGCCCGATAAATTTTTCATCCAATAGCACTGCAAAGACTATTGCCAAGGTCTCAGAGCAGTGATCAGTGAGTGCTGTCAGCAACCGGATTTTCCAGGAATCTACAACCAGTTTTCTTCCTTGCATTCTCCTCCCTTTGTTTTCTTTCATTTTTCCTATCCAAGGTATGCCCTATCTATAGGGAAAAAAAGGAAAAAGAATAAAAAAGAAAAAACAAGCATAAATTGATAGGGAAATTCTCTTAATTTGTAGCCATCTCTCTCTTTAGAGGATTGTATTTTAGTTATGTTGGTTTTGTGCAAGGTCCTTGATTGCGTTCTTTCCACTTTGCTTTTCCTTTGGTTTTGGGGGTGAGAAAGGCCTGTGTATTCGCCATTTGATGTTTTTAAAATGTTACACAATTTAAGATGTTATTCTGTTAAAGTTGTGTATTTTGGTGGGTGCTTTTTCCCCACTCTCCTACTGTTACTTATATTGAAACAGACCAGTTTTCTGTTGCCTTGCCTCTTTCTTCACAGTTCTTAAAGATTCTTTAGAGCTTCTGGGGAGTCACAAGAGGCAGATGGGAAACCTGAAAAACCTTTCCTTTTTTGTAGGATTCAGTGCACAAAAATGCAGCACACACCCACAAAATTAGGTTGAATATAAAAAAGATGGCCACACACACCCTTAATTTAAATACAGCCCATATATGACCTTGTGACAGGGTGGATTCCTTTTGGCTCCCACCTGTGTGAATCTTGGGAGATATTCATAAAACAGCCTTTGCAGCCGCCTGTGCTCATGATTCCACCCTTGGCAGAAGGATGATGATGAGGGCTGAATACAAAAACATTTCTCAGCTGAACTTGAGTCTTATGTCAAATACGTTAAGCCCCACCCAATATTGAAAAATACAGTGAACAATATTAAAATAATGAATACTATACATAGCATAATCCCTGGCTTCCTCTAGTAGCCAGTTCTGGCGAATTCAAAATATATTTTCCTAGGAATCATCTTTTAGTATTTTCAGACCACAAATAAACGAATCAGCGGATACCGGTTCTGTGGATAAGACAGTCCTACTATATATTCTCCATCACTGCAGATAAAAAGCCTCCGGGAGGAGACTGACACCTTGTAAGAACGGCAAGTGTTGATGTTTAAAAAAAAATGAAACCACCACAGTCTTAAAGAAACATTTATTAGAGGGTTGCAGGATTGTGTGAAATATAAAGTCCCTTATAAAACACTTATCAGCTCACTAGCAATCCTTTTACCACCGTGTTCCACAGTCCTCTGCACGGACTGTGCAAGAGTCTCGCCTTGCATATAAGAAGTTCTGCTCTAAAAGTTTTATAAGATAGACTCAAAGGGAATTTATAGCTACAGAAACATGGACAACTGGGCCAAATCCAGCTGTCATTACTCGTAAGCTCGTAATTTAAGATGTTGAAACTACTAAGCAACAAAATATTAACATAAAAGCTTTTAAGGAGTAACTGTGCTTAGAGAGACAACTAAGTATCACAAAACGAAAACTAAGAAGAGAAAAAAAAAAGGAGCAAGATCAGCTTAGGGAAGGTTCCAAATATACATACAAATTCAATACAGTAATTGCACAAAAGGAAAAAAAAAAGCCATGTTAGCCAACGATTACCAAGGTTAAAGAATACATGCTTCACACATGAATTTCAAATAAAGTCTTGATGCTATTTTCCCCCCTATCAGGAGATCAGGTGCAGAAAAATTTTACAGGTTTAAGCAAAAATGTGCAAACCAGAGTATAATGAATTGTTTTCATCATCATTTTGTGAAGAGTAAGATAGCAATTATATTTCTATGCAGGACTTAAGCTTTCACTTTTAAAACAGTCTGAAACAGATACAGGGGAGAAGAGGCGATCCGTTAACGTGTTAGTTTCTATTCAAAATTGGTTATCTGGAAAATTCAGCAGCACCAGGGAATCAAAGAACAAAAAAAAACCCCTATGATGAATCTGGAGTTTGCTTTTCGTTTTTTAATCTAAGCAATTCACAAAAAAAAGCATAAGGCTTTTGATTATCACTGCACATTTTAATTCTGAAGTTTTAAAGATGTAAAGCTTGGACTTCTTAATGAAGATGCGTGATTGTCACTCTGCCGCGTGGTACTTTTCACTGCTGACAGATCTTGGTTTCAACAACAAACAGGTTTTCAAAGTGCCGGATTGTGTGGCATTTTTCGGCTGAACGTTTCTGGAGGCCTGAGGTTCGGGGGGGGAGAGCAAAAAATAATTAAAAATAAAACAGTGATTAGCCGAGTTGAAAAAACACAAGTGTAAGAGAACACGAGGTCTTTTTTTTTTTTCCATTTCAGTTCTGTGAGGAATTCTCTGCATCTTTAACCAAACTGCAATTTAATATTCTGCAAGGAAATCCTGTTATGCTTACACTGAAGAGAAGGCTAGTGTTACACCTCTGAATTCTTACCGTACAAGTGACATTATCACTACAAATAGGGAATTTTATATCCTTTCCTGCACAAGCAAGGGAATAGCCATTCTCATTGAGTTCTTTAAAATGCTTCATGTGGGTTGCTCTCTTTGCAAGAAGGAGCAGCATCTGCCTGGAGTCACAGAGGACTTACTGTACTGGTTGTTGTGGGTTTTTCGGGCTATTTGGCCGTGTTCTGAAGGTTGTTCTTCCTGACGTTTCGCTAGTCTCTGTGCCCGGCATCTTCAAAGGACACAGAGTGCTGTCCTCTGAAGATGCCGGTCACAGAGGCTGGCGAAACATCAGGAAGAACAACCATCAGAACATGGTTAAAGAGCCCGAAAACCCTACAACAACCAGTAGATCCCGGCTCTGAAAGCCTTTGCGAATACATTGACTTACTGTACGTTAGCCGGGCCACTTGATTTTCACATCCGAACATGCTGAAGTTTCAAGGAAACAAAAGCGAAACTAGAAATCTGTTTCCAATAACAGGTCAATGTTAAGTAAAGTGATCCTCACAAACATTAAACTATGCCTGACTGCAACTATGCCACGAAATGTTCTTGAAGCCAGATGAAGCCTAAGCAATGCTGCGGCACTCTAAAATCACTCCCAGCCAGCTTTGCCAATGCAGGAACATTATTGTGAGTAGTATTAATAAGAATCATCATCTTAGAACTGCAGAGCCAGAAGGGACTACTGTTGAGTCCGGGTCCTTGCCAAGGAGGCCCAGTGGGGGGGAAGCGAACTCCCCACCTCTGGCTTGGCAGCCAGAGACCTAAACCACTGAGCTATAAAGCAATTCCAATTAACATCTTCAACAGACGTTCCCAACTCTGTTTTTGGCCTTTGAGGAGCTCTTCTCAGGTTCCAACGCTCTCTGTCAAACAAAGATACAACATAAACGAACAGAAAATCCCCTTGTCAGATTTTGCCGTATGTGGTCCTCTCCAAATGTATCAGGGTGCCCCCCATGGCCAGCATGGCTCATCTAGAGAGCTGGAAATTCCCCTAGCTTAGTTATGGTACTCTTGATTCTTCCCCAATTCCCTTTTCCTAATTTTTAAATGAAAAGAAGGCAGTGGAGACACAACCCCAACAGTACTGGCTGTTTCAAGTAGAGCTGAGGGGAATAACACTCTCAACCACGGACAGACACCAAGGATACTGGAAGTGTTTCACTTATCAGCTGTTTCTGGCATCTGCGGGCGAAGGCTTGGAACTGATCACCCGTGGATACCACAGTCCTACTATATACAACTGTCCCTGCACATAAACCAGTATGTACACTGGTAGCAGGTTACCTGGAAGAACCAGGACTGCCAGAATCTTAAATATAGTGGAGGCTACCTGAAGGGATTTCCTCTACAGGCTGATGCATAAGATTTCTATTGCTCAATTTCAACTTGCTGAGCAAAAATCAGGAAAGGTTGACAGAAAGCTTCTCTTCAAGAGAAAGGAGACAGACCTGTTGGGCCCATCACTGAGAGAGAGCCACACTTCCTCATACAAACCTAAAAGGCCTGACCACTGAATCCCTAGAAGAACACACAGCCTATTACAAAAAAAGGTGGGGAGGGGAAGAGGAGGAGAAAAAACTTAACTAAGAAGAAGAGGGAGAAATAAATCCCAAGAGAGGAAAAAGGAGCACTTGGATAAACTGAGAGTCCGACACACAATCCTAAGGTGGTGGTTATGCAAAAATGGTTTTCAGCCTTGCCTTAGTGCTGCAAAGATGCAAGAAGCTGCATGCATCATAAACAGGGACAATACAAACGAGAGAATTAATAAAGCACCCCATATCATGGAAGACCACACTGTTCTCAACATCACAGCCTGGAAACTCCTGATTTTCTATGAGAGTGCAATGATCAGCTTGTTACAGTTTGAGGCCACTCAGGACAATCATGAGGGCTGACATAAAACCATTTCCTGCCAGGCAAATTATGCCTTGGATGAAGCGCCTCCAATTTCACAGGATAAAGACCGAGCCAATCCAGAGAGCACAGCCCCCTCCCCTCCAGACGTATCACCACTGCTAATCTCTTTGGTAAAGCAGCTCCGTCTTGGCATTTATGGACCATGAGCCACAGTTATTTTCTGTGTACCCCAAGATCTTATATTTCTGCATAAGCAGTTGTTCTCAACTTTCCAAAACATTTACATTTAATCAGTGGCAAAGATCTGAGCTGCAACTAATTCACTGGAGATTAAATGCAATGTTTTGAGTTCCAGCTCAACCACTTTCTTATTGGGCAGCTTAGAATGGCAAGAGGGAAGTTTGTTGGACTGTTAAAGATCATTTTCCCCCCAAAGCTAACAAACAGTACTCCAATTTCTGGTTTTGCTTCCTTTTCCTGAAGAGGGGAAAAGGTTGAAAAACCTAACGTGAAGCTTACCGATGATCTTATCTCTGCGCTGGAGTCTAAAAGTTTCCTTCCCAACGCAAAGCTGGTAAATGAAAATCCCCAGATCGGACACATCATCAATCTCTTCTGTCACAACCATTTCTTCTCGCACAAGGTAGGTCTGAGGCAAGTAAGAACCAGTCTGTAGAGCGGAGAAAAAGAAACAACAGTGACTTTAATATTTGCATAGTAAAAATGAGGAAAAGGCTGTATGGTGTATGGTCCTCAAAACAATACAAATGCAGGAACAGGGTATAACTTTATTGAACCATTTATATATAACCATTTTATATATATATAAAAATAAAACAAAACCAAACAGCAAGCTTTCTACGACAATTCATCTTTCTCAGGCTGGGCATCAAGTTCTCATGGATAGCTCCCCAAATTATGTTTATACTGGAGTCCCAAAGTCTCACGGGCACTGTTGGGAGCCAGCTATAGATTGGCAGATCATTCTGTCCTCTAACACTCAGGACCACACAGGCTGGCTGTGCTCTTACAAGATGCTGGGGGGGGGGGGAATCAAACACCCAACCTCTCCATCTGCAGCCTTGGTCTACTGCAAAGTCATCATATGCAAATGTGTGAGCAAACGGCAAGAATAAGTAAGGGACGATCTCTGGGATTACGACCTCACCAGAGAAAGGACACTACACGGTCTTCGCAGGTTACTGTAGGCTGAAATAGAGCAATACATACCGCTAATTTTGCAAAGAGATCCATCAGATTCCGTGGGGGCATAACAATGGAAGTATTCAGAGGGATCACATAGCAGTTGCCAAGCTGCAGATCAAGGTAGGCTGTGAGGAGCTATAAGAAAGCACAAATACATAACATGGATTTGACTCTACCCTTCAACTTATGTCCACTATCCACAAAGCATTTTCTATATTATATGAATAAAATTATGCAAGCAATCCGAAAAGCAACAACAAAAAGGGATGAATCGTATTCTAACCAGAGGTTTCCTTCCTTCAACAGAAGGGGTTTTTCCTTCTGGAAGAAGTGGCTTCCACTGGAGTAAGGGGGAAACGGGCAGCTGATCAGATCTAGCAGTTTCATACTTATGAAGTATGCTAGATCTGATAAGATGGACCAATGAAAAAGTGTTTCGAAATATAAAAATAAGTTTAAAAAGGGAAAAATGACCCATTCATTCCTGCAGAACCTGACAAAATGGTAAATTAAGAGAGAAAGAAGGCTTGCCACGACAACCTACCCTGTCAAAATCATGAACAATAGCTGCAGGATCACTGTCAGAGAATTTCGGAACAGGGACGTCAATTATGGCGATGTTGTCAGCCTCACGAATATCAGCCTCTTCAGCAATGGGCAAGAAGTAGGGCTCGGCCACCCGATCTTGATTTTCCTCTCCCACGTAGCACATTTGTCCACGGAATACTTTGTGCTAGAAATTCAAACAGAAATATATTGAAACGTTTTGAGGGCAGATCAGAAGGCACCGGCAAGCCAATGACGGAATACAATGTCCTTTCATCGCCAACTGTAGAGAAGGGACAGCTATAGTTGCTCCTGAAATGGGGGTGGGGGGAAGTAGCTGGAGCACATTTCCGCATCTAAAACCTGACAAATTCACAGACAAGGGAATACACAGAGGGAGAAAGGCAGCTCTTATCCACGCTAGGCACCTAACCCCTGTAGAGAACCTGGACAGTCTCTCCAGGTTGGCCCTTGACCACCACACTTTCGGAATAGGTCACTGCAAATTTCTGTGGAACACTCCAATTCAACTGTCTGCCCGCCCCCAAGTGTGTAAAATGTTCCACCTTGAATGGCTTATGCCTTCCTCTGCCAATATCATTCCAATGCAAAGCTAAGAAAAAGTATAGATTTTCCATTACCCTTGGCATGAAAAACTTATAGATGCAGGCTCCGCCGACAACCACTCCTGCCAAGATGAAGGCAAGACCAAGGAGTGTCAGAAGACATTTTCCGGACGAGTGTTCGTGGGTGTGTGTCGCAATCTCCGGATCCTTCAGGAGAGAAAAGAGAGCAAGAATATACTTTTAAGTTCTTTGTTGTCTTAGAAGCAGGACCCCACTTAATCACTTCTGACCATGAATCAGCAAAATGACACCACACCAAGGGGAAAGACAAGATGTTAGGTAAGAATCTTAAGAAAATTTCACAATAGTTGTTGACTCAACAAAAACCCGCTCAACAAAACTCCTTCCACGGTGTTTGTAAAGGCAGCTCCAGAACAAGTATCACACTTTCCTTCAAAATTACGTTCCAATAAATTTGGCTTTATTTACTGAAACATTAAATGGATTTCATGCTTTAGAAAGTCTTTTCCGCTATTCAAGGGCACTCTTCCTAAGTTTCTGTTTATGGCGGTACAAAGGAGATGCACCAAATTTCAGTGGTCAAGCTCTTTAGTGGGTTTTCCCAAGCCCAGCTGCCTTGTCACCTGCAGCCGCCGCTGCCTCACACATTCCTCATAACAGAAATTGAGTTTTTCCACTATGCCAATCATGTAAGACTTCCTCCACTTCAGCCCTTTGGCCTTCTTCTAAGACCCTGAAGTGACTCTGCAGATATCAGCGAAGCTACTACATTCTTAGACTGTCACCCTCCATTAAGGAAAGACATTTTGGCCCAAAGCCTCTCAGTTCATGCCCTGCATGTCTCTCCCGACCTTCCTTCAGACATCCGAGCAGCTTAGACGGATCACCAGTGCTCATAACAGGCGTGGCACTGAGTGGAAGCTGCCCAGCTGCTCAATGTCAGATTAAGATTTCAGAAGGACAGCTAAGAATACCAATTCTGCCATGCTTCTGGCAATGCACAAAGTGTTTTTTGGCTAATCTAGGAGGACCGGTGCCAGATGGATTGAGGCCAAGGATGAAATCCATAAGGTAAAATTGCTCTAACACTTTCCACGTTCTACATGCACTTTCGTTTTTTCTTGAAAAAAATATTAATAATGCTTATTTATTTATTTGATTTATTTATTTGATTTATATCCCGCCCATCTGGTCTGGTCGACCACTCTGGGCAGCTTCCAATAAGGTGTATACGAAAACTTAATGCTTGCTTAATGCAGTGGTTAAACTGCTGTACTGCAGCCAAAACTGTGCTCACGACCTGGGGTTCCACCCCAGGTAGCCGGCTCAAGGTTGACTCAGCCTTCTGTCTTTCCGGGGTTGGTAAAATGAGTACGAAGCTTGCTGTGGGGGGGTGGGGGCAATGTGTAGCCTGCATTTTCTGGGGTTGGCAAAATGAGTACGAAGCTTGCTGTAGGGGGGGCAGTGTGTAGCCTGCATCATTAACTTGTAAACCGTCCAGAGTGCTTTAAGTGATATGGGGAAGTATATAAGCACCACACTCTGCTTTTGAGCTTCTCAAAGGTGTATAGTCCAGGATTTATTGCATCTCAAAGGTGTATAGTCCAGGATTTATTGATTGCACTTATATCTTGCTACCAAATGGTGAGCCATTCCTCAGGGTGGTTCATCGATTGCACTTATATCCTGCCCATCTAGTGGTGAGCCATTACTCTGGGTGGTTTGCAGTTAAAACAACCACCCACCTGCCCACAATATGCAAACAAACAAGTAACAGGAACAAAAAAAATCACACAGAGACAACAGTGGCAAATAAAATTCAATCACACAGGAAGGGTATTCTTAACTGCCTCCTTGAAGAACATAGTTTTCAGCCCTTTCCTGAAGGACAGGAGACAGTGGCCCTGGCCTACATGTACAGGCAACGCATTCCAAAGCATCTTGGCCACCACCAAAAAGACCAGGTTGCTTGTGACTGTTTTCTGAGCCTCCTTTGGGATGGTCACCCATAATGATGCCTGGGAAGACCAGGTGATCCAGGCAGATGACCTTAAGGAGAGACACTCTGACAGGCAACGAGATCCCAAACCATTAAGGCCATTAGAGGTTCATATTAATACTTCTGAGTATGGCATAGAAGCAGAAGTTGATGTGGGCGCACCAGGATCAGGGAGACTCCTGAAAAGGAGAACTTCTGTGACACACAAGAACGGCGTGCCTTTTAGTTATTTCAAAATGTTGGCTCGTGACGGTTCAACACCCCGGAAACAAGATTGGGGTGCAACACTTTCCAATGGCCTGTCAATCCCTGGCTCTGGTATCAAATGTGCAAAAATCTTATTCGTAATTCATAACTATAGAAGGGAGATCTCTCCCTCACTGTTCTATTTTTTTAAAAAAGCAGTTTTGTTCCATTTTACATTATGACCTCATAATGCTAAAGTAGAGGCAGCAATTCAGTTGTGCATTATTTGGATTTACACTCTTAATCTTAAAATTACATTACATGAACTGGATTTTTTTTTTTTTGCCATTTCATGTACCCTAATGCAAACATTACACCGCCCCCTAAATTACTGACATGGGAAACCCTGATTCCTTATCTATTAACACCTAGAAGAGGAACACACATCATGGATCACCAAAACAAGAAGAAAAAAGAATTTAAAAAAGAAGTGCCAGCAGCAGAGTCAGAATAAATTCTGTTATGTAAAAGCAGTCTTGTGCTTTCCAGAAGCTAAACTTTGCTGTTCAAGCAGCTAGTAAACAATGACAAAGGTTTTGGCTTTAAAAGCTAACCAAGGCAACAAGGCGAACAGCCAATATTTATTCATATATGCAGTTACTTCATCACATAGGCCAATCTATTACAAATTCAGTATATTCTACCACTCTGGGCGGCTAATGTGTCACTTCAGCTAAATCCATCACCTTGGAAACATTGAATGACAGGTGCCTAGTAGCCAGCTTGCAAGAGTGAGAGAGAGAGAGATCAGGAAGCTAACAAACTTAACCTCTGCCTCTTGTGCAATGGGAAGTGACTCAAAGTGCATCTCCAGGCAATGGTTTGCAAGAACAGAGACTACCAAGCGGTCTCCTGGTAGCTGCTTTGCTGTAGTGCAGAGGCTGTCAATCCCCGGTCCACAGCCTGAGCCGGACTGGGCCGCAGAGACAGACCTCCTGCCCCTGCACACACTCCTCTCCGTACAGCTGCTTTGCGCGCATGCTCGACCTTGAGTGCTCCCCACCCCTTCATGCATGCGCCCGCACAAAGAGGTCCGTAGGCATGCACATGTGTGCTCCTGAACATGTGCAAAGGAGTGGGGTGGGTGCTCACGGTGGCGCATGCACTCAAGCACTCCCCCCACCGCTGCACGCATGCACCCTAGAAAGAGCACCTGTGCGAGATTCCATGCCTTCCTCAGAGGCTCAGCCAGTCTGTGGTCCCAAAAAGGTTGGGGACCGCTGCTGTAGTGTATATTATTAGAACGGCACAGTTTGAACAGCATTTAATATTGGCTTCTGGCTCATGAGCTGGAAAAATGGATTCCCAGAGTGAGACTTCATGCTCCAGCAGTGGTCCATCATCTTGAGTAACTCAGGTGTCCTTGGGTTTCTGGGAACTGTAGTCCACGGTTCCCTAAGTTTGCAAACTGTGTTAAATGAAGCACAGATGTACCTGACACACTTGATAGCTTATGCTGCAAGTAGGAATACAGCATGAGTGACCCAACAGAAGGCACCAGCAACTTTTCTCTCTTTTCAACAGCTCCATCTTGTCTGGAGAGCCAAACGAGTGACATTTTGAGCCACACAGCCTTTTTTTTTTCATCTGTAATCTCAGCCATCCAAAATGTGTCATGCATTTCTACTTATTACACAGGATTAAACCTGTGGGGGGGGAAGAAGCCTCATATTTGCACCACTATTTCATAGTGATTAGGGCAGTGATGCCTCCTACTTTTACACCCATTTATGGTTCTGCCCATGCACAAACCCAGGCAGAACTCTCCCAGCTTCTTTACACCACCTCCTCCAGAGTAGAGATGCAAGAGGTCTTCCAAACACAAGGAACACTAATTAACGGCTGCTGATCTGTCATCTCTACCTCTGAATTGTAGGGCACCGATTAGTATTTGCAACTACTGAACTGCAAATTCGCAACAAAGCTTTCAGTTGCTTACAAAACATTGGAGAAAAGAGGCTCCCTGCTGGAACATTTATATGAAAAACAGGCAGAGCTGAATTCACAGACATTTGATGCAGTGCAGTCGCTGGCCTCAAAAGAAAAGAGGATTAAAGACAGAGGAAACATCTGTAACAACAAACAGGGGGACTCTTCGTTGGCTGCCAGACAGGAAACTAGGCAAGAGTCTCTAATCAAATTCCTGTCTGAGGCGGTGTTTATCATGTTTCACTAAGGGAAATCTTCATAGAGCCAGCTTCCATGTAAATGTTTCTGGAACTACAGCTAAATTAAGGGCTAATAATTCCAAGATACCGGTGAACCTTTTAGACTTACATGTCCCCTTTTGTGGGGACCTGATCCCACACTGAAACCCACATGTTATTTTCTTGGCAGAACTGCAATCCATTCATTGGTACCCATTTCTCCTCAACCTTTTCACTCTACCATGTCTGAGTGGTATCAAAAGACATGTATTCCTCAGAAATGTCTGTGCAAAACTGACACCCATTATCTAGTAGCAGCTATCTAAGGGTCTTACTTTCATTTTCAGGAATCCTAGGTTTTATTTGGGCTTGCAATATACTTCAATTCATGACAAACTGCTGGAATGCTTGAGATAAGCACAGTCTGACCGAAAACAGGAAACAGTTCATTTCCAAAATGAGTTCCCATTTTATGTTTCAGAGGTTATACTCTGACTATCCAATTATATATACCCCTCCCACCACACAAAAGAAATCCGAAGTCACATATACTCTAGCTCAAACACAGTTCTAGCACTGAAGATAGTCAGTGGTCACAGATTAATTCAACTCAATTGTAGTATTAGTAATACAAATAAATATGCAAACAGTGACCCACCTAGTTTAGAACTCTGACCAGTATAAACCAGCAGTTCAGGATTTGATTTAAAGCTTCCAAGGCTGTAGCATGTAAATAATATGTATACAAATGTATCTGAGATGGTTAAACACACATGCTTCTATTTCTATCTAAACAAAAACTAACTTAAACATTTTGTTATTACAGTTGTAACAAAACATCTCACTTTCTATCTGAATTGCATGGTCACCGCCTACTTGTACCGTTTCCCTGAAAATATGCCCTAGCATGATTTTTCAGGATGCTCGTAATATAAGCCCTCCCTCCCAAAAATAAGCCCTACCTCCCAAAAATAAGCCCTAGTTAAATGAAACCCCACCCTCCACCCTTGTGCAGCAACCAGAAGATAACATGATTGTATTTGAATCAATGTATATGGTTGTACATGGAAAAAAATAAAACATGCCCTGAAAATAAGCTCTAATGCATTTTTGGAGCAAAAATTAATATAAGACCCTGTCTTGTTTGCAGAGAAACACGGCAGGTCTCAATCAGCTCCACAAAAGCTAATCGCGGAAAAACACGGTAGGTCTCAATCAGCTCCACAAAAGCTAATCACTGAGATAACTGCAAGACTTTAGGTGTCTCCGTGACACAATATTGCACCTGAACTAATGATGGCACCATTGTAGAGCATGCAACACCTGAAGCTGTGAAGCATCTCCTGTACTAATGATGGCACCATTGTAGAGCATGCAAATCCCCTACCCTTGGGAGAAGGCCTAGCGTAGCTCTGTTGCAGAAACATGCACTGCACGCAGAAGTGTTCACATTCAATTCCATGCACGGCCAAGGCAGGAAACAGGCAAGGTTTGTGAGGCTACTGCTAAGGCTGAGACCGTCCTGGCCAGGTTCCTAGGCAACTATGAATATTCATGCAGAAGGTAAAATCCTGCTGCCTTCAGTGCGGCTCTCCACTACGAGGACTGGAGTCTAACTGATGACCTACTTCATCGGTACTAATGCCACGAGTTGAGAAAGTCCTACGAAGAGGATCAGAACAGCAGCACTACTGCCATACAAATATACAGCTTTTCCATTTATCCTATGTGCTTATGATACCTTCTTGTCCCTGGAGGTTCCACATGGGAGATCCCTCCACACATGCAAAACATTTGCTGCAACTCTGATTTTGCAAAGCCTTCTTTGCCCTTTTTCTGGCAGCCGTTCAAGAACGTGTGGCATTTTAAAACATTCCTTGCCTGGATTCGGAGATCCGGATGCCTCAGAAGGTAAGGGATCTTGCAAATGCCTTACCCTAAACGATCCTGGCCTGATCACGACCATTATTATCTCAAGCACTGCCATCACTTCTGTTATTAGAATGGAAGTGGTCTAGATGAAAAGATTATGCAAAAACGCAGAGGGAGCCACCTAAGCCACAAGGACAACGACAAATTACAACACAGCGCCCGTACTTTCAGCAGGGCAACAACAACAATAACAACAGGACCCAGGCTTCAGAAGTCACAAAAAGACAAACACACACACACACATACACAACAGCGAATGGTTTAGGTCTCTGTCGGCAGAGCCAGAGAGTTCAATTCCACCACCACCACCCTCCCCTGGTGCCTCCTTGACATCTGGTGGACTAAGTGATCCATAGGATGCCAATACTGCTCTGCAGTTTTAAGATCATTATTATAAGAAAATGCACAGCAGTTTAGGTCTCTGGGTACTATAATAAAATATATGCAACATCGTCATAAGAGCTTATGGGGATGGATGCTGACGTTTCCTAGTTTCCTTCTTGCAAGGTCTGAAATCCTGCAGTTCAGTGGCAACTAGAGTAGGCCCACTGCTGTTGGTGGGTAAGCGCAGACGTTTAGGTCTCTTTTGTCTGCTGAGTGGGAGGGTCGGGAGTTCGAATCCCGCCCTGGGTCTCCTCGGCAGGGGGGGCTGGACCCCCATGATCCACAGAGGCCCTTCCAGTTCCGCCGTCCTGATAGGAGGAGGAGAAGCCGTGAAAGCTGGCAGGGGGAGGAAGAAAAGAGGGCCATGCCGGACCTTGAGCTTTAAAACCAGCCTATCCAGACCGGCTCTTGTTTGGGTTGCGTGGGGGGGGGGGGTTTGGCCCCAGGTGGTTTCCCAACCGCCCCCCAAGGCCTCGCCTGAGGGCCGCTGCACCTCCCCCCTAACCCCCTTGAGGCGG